ATTATTTACATATGAAGATTCCCCATAATCACCGTGTTGATCTTGTTTAAGAAATAAGCTTTATTTATTTATGTTTTACGTATAGAATGGAGGTAGAAGTGGTTTAGAAAAGTTACGGGATGTTTTGATTATGAGTCGAAATGAGGATACAAAGTAGCTTTTTCTACATTTTCCTTGTGCTGTTTAACTATCGTGAACTACAAGTAAATTGAATGCTATGGCAATTATTCACCGTGTTACAAACAAGACTCTAAGGAGAATCAAATCGTCATGATAAAGAAAAAATTCGAAGAAAAGAAAGGGTCGGAAAATGCATATTCCAATGTTGACGCGAAAATATGCACATTTCACACTTAAGATGGTGTCATTTCTAACATCTTAAGAAAAAAAAAAACAGCAGATACAAAAGTGTCAATGTACCTATAGTCTTATTGTATCTATTAAAATATATATTACTGCATAAGCAAGTCACTAGAATATTTCGCAGTGAAATGCCAGCATCCTTTAGCGCTATACACGCAATTGTTTTATCTGAAAATTTTCATTTTACTTTAAAATGAAGCCCATGCTGCTTTAGGTGACGGTTTAGACTTCATGTCTTCTTTTTCATCCTCATCATCATCCTCTGGAGTGACCCTAGGGCGGCGCTTCTTTAAGAAGAAAATAAGCAGGCAACAAGCAAGAAGCCCCACTGCAGCAAAACGCTGTCCCGGCGCCAACCATGATCTGAACTACGGGGTTTGACATCGAAAGAAATTTCTGCACACTGGCCCCAACTGCTTGGTCTAATTTGTCTCGGTCAATTGATCCTTCAAAGTTGTCTTGCCCATCTTTGACTTTGTCATAACCCGCTGATTTGGTGCTTAACCCAGTTGCGTTAGGTGCAGCCGTAACTGTTCCATTGGATGCCAATGGTCTGGGCGTTGAGGTGCCATTGCCCGCAATTGATTGACGTTGCAGGTCTTGCGATGTGGTTGTGGTGCTGTATGAGACTTTGCGTTCTCTTGTGAGAGACACCATCAAAGCTGTCGCTAATGGCGTGGAAACAGGTAAGTGTGTAGGAACTGCGACATTTGGTTTTGTCTCACTTCTTGTAGTAACCATGGCAGTAGGCGTAATTCCCTTTGTGGATCCTACATCTGCGCATCCCACGTCCGAAAACGAACTGCTTAACTCTCCTAGCTTTTGAAAGTCGTCAGCAACAAAAACGTGTTTGTCTATCGGTTTGCTTGCCATGGTGCTTAGCTCTTGGTGACTGATTTTGGTGCCAATGGCGACGGCATACATTTCAATGCCTTGTTGTTTTGCCAAGTCCGCTTCGTTCTTTGTTAAAGCAGCGTTATTGGAGGCGCCATCTGTAATGATTATAGCGATCTGGTTTGCGTCTGCTCTTGCTCCTAGGGGTTTGCGCGCATTGAGGTAAGCCTGGTGCGCCATCCTAATGGCTACATATGTTTGCGTGGACCCGCCTGAGTAATTCACAGCGTTAATTTTTGCAAGGACTGCCTCTTTGGTGTGAAGTTCGTTCAACCTAAACTGCACTTTGTAACCGCTGGAGAAAGTTATCATTGCAACACGCGTTTTGTTTGGCCCTACGTCAAATGATGAATTGACTACGTTTCGCATAAACGCCTTTACTTTTTCAAAATTGGAAAGTCTAACACTACCCGACTCGTCCACCAAAAATGCGACGTCCAACTTGCTTCCACAGCCTGTAAAATATTCAACCAATTTCAGAAACGCTGTTTAAATGTTATTATTGTCTAAATGTTATTAGAAAAAAATGAATGCCATGACTTGTTTACATTGATTTGTCTTTTCAATAACTTCCGCTTTGAATATCTAAACCAATTCGTTTACACATGCATATCAAAAGCTGCATCTTTCTTTTCTTCCACATATAACTCACCACCAAAACATGCTGGGAGTGCACCCAAGAACACAACAGCAATGAAGACACCAATTCCTTTGGTCGATTTCATTCTCAGAGTCGTGCTCCTAAGTGTCGCAGAAAGGGGACCTCCGCACCGATATACGTCAAACGGGGTAAACGGAGTTAGCCGCTTGTCATTTATGATATATTTACGTCCTGTCATATCAATACGATTTCTTCAACATCTTTGACCGTAGTACTTTATTAACTTCAAATATAGAAATAGTTTCTCCCTGTGATATTGGTCCGTGAGTCGTTATCTCTGATTAATACCATACCGGGCATATAATCAGGTGCATGGCGACGTAAAACATTGGATAGGTTACATGCCAATACTACACCTACCACCAGGCCTCGGTAAATTATTTTTCAAGAGGAAAATGCACATAATTACACTCTGGGTAATTAACTGGCATAGAGGCCACTGCGTGACACAAAGGTAAAGGGTGGCCTGGGTTGAGATCATTCCACGGAGACCCTCTGCCGGTGGTGCCAATGAACGAATTGGTAACAAATCGAGTCTCTTTTGGTCGCCAAAACCATCTGTGACGCAGAGAAAGCATTACAACAATCTAATCGGTTAGGTATTCATGTCTATATCTACACATTGACATGACGTAATTGTCCATATGCAGTCTTTTCTAGGTTTCACAACATACAGCAACAAATAAACATAACGATTGGGCTTTATTATTGATTTTTAATAAAAGTTATTTTAATTACATGTGACAATTGGCGACTCCCTCTCTGCACAAATCACAATGTGATTAACAATTAGAATAATGTACACCTTCACATGTCCATCCTATTGAAACAATCTTGACAAAGACAAAATTATACTGACGGGTTTTTAGTGTTACAAATGATTCCATCACATCTAAAAGAAAACGTGTCTGACACGCCGCTTTATACCGTGACAGTAATGAACCGAACATTTATTATCATAACAATATGTACAATTTGTTATGCATAAAAAGTTCCAACGTCATCTTGAGTGCGTGACGTCATTTAACATTGCCAACGTCACAAAACTCGGGTTGACAAAACGACAAACGTTCCCTGGACTTCATATTGTTTAACAATGAACGCACTTAATAAACATTGCACAAAAATATTATACTAACATTTCAAGACGCCACGCCAGTGCATACGGGTTTTTTTTCTGACATAAGAATATATGTCAACATGTAACAAGAATAGACTGCACAAAGCGAGGGAGGCAGATAACAATGAAAATAATAACTCCATTCCTCAAAGATTATTTCAAATATAACAGTTCATTTTATGATCCACACACACCCAGGTGAGCATTGTGAAAATGGACTGCATCACTTGGTTCAAAGGAAACAGATTATATCACAGCTGGTTCTTTGCTTTCAAAGATATGTGACATGTACCACCTTACCACACGTATTTTCTGTGTGTACTACATTCTGTATCAGAGACACGGCAGAGGATAAAAATGTTTCAATTTTCAGAAATAGCATTCTTCGGTGCACTGTGAACGGCTTTTCATAAACATAATTTGTTACTCTGTTGTAAAAGTACTTCCATTCAATGTGACAAGCTGCCCTGGATGTAGGGGCCTGTTCAGAACCAAGATGATCCGGGGACTAACTGATCAGCAGGTTAATTATGGAGCACGCTTGACAATGCCTTCCACATGTGCCTTCCTGCAGGGGCAGGGCTATTAAATTTCAGCCTGCTTTCAAGTTGGTGGTGTCACATTTGATTTCCAGTTTCGTTAGTCTGCGGATCAACTTGGTTCTGAACAGGCTCTTGGTGAACTTCTGTCTCCACGGCTATCTGAGAACCACAATATATACATATACAGATACTGACTTGATCAGTAGTGGGAACATACAACAGAAATACAAGGAATGTTACAAAAAAAATAACAGCAACCAGAGAGCACTTCATTACAATTGTTGTTCTGATTGTTTGAAAATATTGGTGCAATGTTGACATTAGGAGTAGGTAAGAAATTTAAGTAACTGTACTGGATGTGCATGGGAGAAGGTTACAATCAACAAACCCAATGCCAGTAAACACGGTGAAATAACAGAAAATTAAGTAACTGTTACGTGTAAAACAAGTTCACCAAAATAGAAGAACATGAAATGACAAGATGTTTAACGAGATACCAGTTTGCAAAATTACAGACTAGATATGTACATCACAATCTCAAAGTATGGAAATAATCAAGTTCCAGAAAAATTATTTGACATAGCACAGTTTAAAGGTGACCAAAACCCATTGCTATTTCTACCCTGATTACGAGTGAAAAAGAGTCCACACTAAAAGGTGCACTGGTAACCAATTTCCAATGACGTGCTTGTAAAGCAACCAGTGAAGTCGAACACTTTATAGATATAACAGATTGAAGGAGAACAACGCCTGAATGATAACAATAACCGAAAATAGAATATATAATAAAACAAAACAAAAAATGTTTGTTTCAAAGGTAATCAAATCTTTTGTTAAGCTTTAATTCTGAAATGTCGTTAAACCAATACTAGTGCAACCTCACTATAAAGCAATATTATAAAAAGTAATAAATTTAGTGCAAATAACCCAAGTCCAATTCTAAGTGTCACATGTGTCAAAGTGGTTGCATTCATCAATATGGGGCTACATCTCCAAAGATGCATCTATATTTGTCACTATCAATGATCACTCAATAGTCTGTCTATGGCTTTTTAAACAATTATTTATACTGCATAGGTATGTTGATGAGGTTTATCCACTTGCTAGTTGGTAGAGTACTACAACACAGCTGAGAAGACAAAGGTCTTGAAAATGTTACTTGTGAACTGAATCCATACCTCTCCCTCAAAAACAATTATAACAAAAGATAAAAACAAAAATCATACTGTGTTGATTCAAATAACTGTAACTAGTCTTTACACTGTAAGATGTGACCTGGTGGTCTAAGGCAATCTGACAGGTCCCTTTAGCCAACAGATTGGGTATTTTCTACACACTTCCTACATGTACAAAGAAATCACCTGACATACAATCTACAGTATGTCTGAGATCATCTCCTAAACCATAAAACCAAAAACCAGATTTTATATGTCATTAAAATTTAGGACATTAGGCAAATCTGTTTATGGAAACCAAGGGACATCCAAAAATGATGACAAATACCTCAATAATTCAGGCTAATATTTAGTGACCAGACCCTGGTATGCTATAAATCAACCAATATCGATCCACCTTGTCATGACCTCCATACAAAAAAAAAAACCCACATAAAGGTCTGAACCGAGGCACCAAAGAGAGTAATTTTGCATGATACATTGCTATAATGATATAAATCTTCTAATTTCATTACCATCACTGGGGTGAACACAGCTACCCATTCTACATGTAACAGCACCAATGACCAACCCACTCGTTTAGGATGTCTTCCACTTATCGCTGTGGTCCTTTTTCAAGAAATTAGGCAGTAGTTTCCTTTTCTTCTTTTCCTTCCTGTCAGAATGGTCCAAATGCTCCGTGGACCCTTCCTCTGGACTAGAGTGCTCCTCGGCCACCGTGGAAGGCACCGAGGATTGTATAGAATGCTTTGGAAAAGTGCCCAGTCTTTTTCTACCCTCGGTAGTTGCTTCTGATAGTGTGCTTAATGAGCCCTCTGAGCAGGAGTTCACCAGGGGTTTCCTGCTCACGCTCATTGTGTCTCTGTCAAGACTTTTCGACTGTTTATATGTGGACAATTGGGAGGAGGTACTGGATTTGTCACTAGACTGATCATTTTGGCAGCTGCAAATGATAACAAACATGACAATTAATTGTCTTTAGTCTGTGAAATGTCCACACAAAATTATCTGTATAGCTATACTATCCGGGTTACCATAAATGTATTTGTATACTTTCACCTTTGTAAGTCGGACACACAAGCTATGTCTAGGTGCAGGTCCGACTTACAAAAAGATCACAAATTTCAGAAGTCAGAAATGACATTTGGCAGCCACTATCTAAATCATTGTAATAAGTAGCTTTTCATGTTTCTTCTTAATTTCCAAACATTCAAAACCTTTTTAAAAACAAAATGTTCCATAGATATTTAAGCTGTTTTCAATCCCGAAGTAATTTTAAGCAGAATAATTTTTCGACTTTTTAATTATAAAAACTCTGATTGGTCCCTCCACAAATTCCAACCAAGGTCTGTTACCTTTCTTCAATCCCAAACACCACCTGTCCCGTGGGGGACACGTCCGAGCTGGAACTCGTGTCCTCCTGTGCATGTGCGTGTTGCCTAGATATGCGACGTTGCTCACCATTCAGTGATGCATGTGACAATGCTTGCAAGTGAGCTGAAAAGACAGCAAGGGAGAGACATTTGAATATTACTGAGCAATGCAACTGAATTAATAAAAATTGCATCCTACTGGTGAAACATGAAAACTCTTTTTTAAATTAGCTACAGTAGTATCTTGTATATGATTATTGCAGGGGATCTAGAATGCAACCATTTGACTGTGTTTCCTTCACACGTCCATTTCTTATCAGCTAATGATTTCTTGTTACCTTGTCTTATTTACTGATGAGAAACATTATGCTTAAATTGGCACAGAGTAATTCAATATTCAAAATATACAGGTAATGATTAAAACTGAAGATACAACTGCTAATCCAATTCATAAATCAATTAAGCCACCAAGTTCCATATTTTCCACATTTAAAATTATGTAAATTAATGTGTATTTCTATGACTAAAATATCTATTTTTCAGCTATATATATTTTTTAAAAAATAAGTTTTGTATTGCCGTTCTACACATGCAATATTGTAATATCTGGAACAAACAGTTGTAAGGATAAAGCTTTAACATGTCAATATATTAGCCTGAGGAAAAAAACACAAACAGGGCATGGCAATACAGCACATGCAAAAACAAAATAATACAACAAGCAAGACAAAACTGACTTCAAGTCAAAAATACAAATGAAGCAGTAACACAAAACAAAATATGCACATAGTAAAATGCTCCAAAGTCTCAGTGCAACCCAATACAACATGTTGCCAAACCAGTGGTTAAAACAAACAAACAAACAAACAAACAAAACAGTGCCATAAACATGTACTACAAAATCATCTACAACAAATTATTTCCACAGCACCTGTGCTATTAAAGGCTGCTCTGGCAATAAATGCAAATAAAAAATTCAAGTATTGTGTGTTTAATAATAAATCTTTGCAAGAAATATTTTTTTGTGTGAATCTTGTACCACAGGACGAGAAATGTTCAAGACAATATGAAGCAAGGAGTTGCCTTAAAAGCATTAATTGGAAACTGGGATTTGAGAAAAGAAATACGTCTAAAATTTAGATTTAGTAAAAGATTCTTTCATACATTCCTGCAACAAGTATTTTTTAAGAAGACTTTAATATATCATTACAGGGGCTGAGAAGAACAAGACCCTTGTGACAAAAAGTCTGAAAATATCATTGTCAAAACTGCACATTCTTGCCAGACCAGTTCGTATGTCGGTAACTGTCAACTACCCACTCCACTTGCAAAGACAAGAAGAGGTAGCAATACCACAGGTTGCATGAGAACTCATGGATAGAATACACTGAAGGGGAATATAATAAAAGAAAAACACCCGCTGCCCTAGCTATAGGTATGGGAGGAATTACCCAAAAACAGGAGATTCAGGGTACTGTTTAGAACCACATAGCCTAAATAGGGAGCAATGTAAAGAACCATTCACCTTCCATTAGAAAGAAAAAGCGGGCGAAAAACAGGGTTAACTGTTATAGATAATGTATTAAATGAAATAAGCCCAGGGTTAATATATGTCTACACCAACTGATCCGTATTATAAAGGAGAACTGAAGCACAAAGCTATGGTCAATATACCCAAAGCAATTGTTCCACCAGTCACTTTTACACATGCACATGGTTTAACACGTGCTGCTACCTATTCGAGTCCTAGCACGCCAGCGCAGTGCGTATATTTCACCCGGCCTTGCACCCTGTTGTCTAAGCTTGGCTTCTTTGGCAGCCAGCTCTGTCACCACTAAATATATACAGGAGAAAAAACCACACCCGGCATTAGTGAGCTGATTCATATGTAATATATGTGTAAATATATATAAACACGTCATGGCACACCTAGGCTAAGGCTAGCATCTCACCCATAGGTAACATGTTTTCAACCACAAATAAAAATATTTTTTAAGAAAAAAAAAAAAAAATACAAGGGCATAGATATATGAATTTTAAATAAACTTGTAAAAATGCAAATTTTTCATTTATCTTTTGCCGGAATATTATAAATTATATATTATATATACAATATATATAATATATAGTATTATAATGATAGCCTGCAACGTTTGTTTTCAACATGATATATGTTATTATGCTAGCATTAACCCAACACACTTGTTAATATAAGTCATACGTGATCTGTTACTATAAAATCTTCATGCAGATATATACTATAGAACACAGCACTTGAACACAAGATTACAAATAATGGCTTCCACAGCTGTCGCACTGCTCTCTCTGAATTACTACTTCTCTTTCTTCAATGAATTTAGACTTAACTTTAAGATAAGATATTTAAATCAAATTTTGACAAAAAAAAAGGAAAAATTAAGTTTACCTTTTGACAACTGGCCTAATAGAGTTCAGGAATGCAGTAAAAGTAAAGGTGAATATTAGTAGAGAAAGTAAAGGTTTGACATTATTAATAAATAGATGTTTTTTTAAAAACCACATGGTTCAAGGAAATGGTCCTAAGAAGTACACCACACCTTTCCACATAATTACTTCAAGCTTAAATATTGTTTGGCATTTATTTTTATAAAACATTATAAATGGATCCAAAGAGACACTCAGATGTGCTGAAGCTGGAATATCATAGGAAGAGGCAAAAATCCATTTGTACTGAAGCACACAACTGTCAGGACCAGACCAACTTAAACTGAGGGAAAAAAAAAATTCCAACTTCAACCCCCAAACACTTTAACAAGCATTCAGAAGTCTATGGGCTCTTTCAGATCAAGTTGATCCGTAAACTTACAGATCCGTAGATCAAATAGGGCCAACCCACTTGAAAGCATGCCACATAATCTCCCAAAAGGCACTGAATATTTTCACTGCGGGGATTATTTTATAAGCTTTTAAGTGGGTCAGCCATATTTGAACTGCGGATCGGTAAGCCCATGGATCAACTTTGGTTGTGAATGCGCCTATGTTAACAGACCTGGTAGTTTTGGTGAGGAAGTTTGATATTTCTGGTTTAAGTTAGTCTGATCATAAACAGGTCACGGTCCATGTTCCATGCAGAGCCACATATACATTTTATGTATTGAACAGAATAGTGGGACTTAAAACATTTTTAACCTTTCTTTTAGCTGAGACAATGAAAAAGAGGGAGGTGGAGCAGAGGCTTTCAAATAGTTAAGGTCTCATTCAATGCACTGTTTATAGTGTCTTTGAACATGTCAACAACTAATTTTTTTCGCACCAAAACTTCACTCTTTTTATGTGGATAAATTATATGCACTTCTGCAGTTAAAATGAACAATCATCTTTGTTTTTGTTCTTGTAAACTAAAAAAAAAAAATTTGTCTAAAAGAAACTTTACCTTTCAATGGACACAGCTCATCTATTTTTGAGAGTGAAGCAACAGTAAGCAATGAAGGGGGGGCACAACAAAAATAAAACGGAAATAAAACACGTCTTTATACTACCTGGAAATGAACAGGAGTGACGCAAATATTGATTGGCAGCAGCTAAATGTGCAACTGTGGACAAAATATGAAATAAATCATTCAAAGTAATGGACATGCCTAGTTAATAATGCTACCTTCCAAATACTAGAGCCATTTGAATAAATCAAAAGCTTCACACCCTGCCTTAAAATCCATATCACCAAGGGCAGTAACACAACCACCTATAGAAGCGCTTAAAGCAAACTGCACACTAGCTTGCAACAGGTTCCCAAGATACCTCCATATTTTCAGAAAAGAGGTAGACCCCCAAAAAACTTTAACAACTTATATAAAATCAATGAACTTCATATTGAGCAAATATGCTTGTCTTAACATATCATTTTAATTCACAAAGTCAGAATTTTAATTTGAGAAATAAAAATGCTTGCATGAAGTCAGTCTCAACAAAGTTTCGAACAAAACTGCTGTAATTCCCATTCATTTTCGAACCACCACAAAAACAAGACATGAACATGGAGTGTTCTCATAAAAATAATAAAGATTTCAATCAACATCGTGAATTAACAAAATAGTTCATCATTCAAAGACAACTTTTCTCACACCTGCACACACACACACACACACACACACACACACACACACACATTTACATAAGTTTTTCATACGAAGTCTGACATTAAACAGGCACATTACACAAATGTACTTATGTCGTGGTTAATATCACAGAGCAAACATCACGCCATTACAGTCAATCACGTCCCTAGTTGGCACAAATCACTTATAATTGCTGTAACCTAATACATCTACACTTCTGCTAACGGCTCACAGCATCTCTGAGATGGCAGAGATCATCTTTCAACATGTTGTAGAATATTATTACAAACACTGATGCAAGCTCAGATTTTTTACCACCCAAGTGGTTCACGTGTTCCAAACTTGCATATGCCTATTCATCTTTTTGATTTGGATTTTGTAAATAAATAAATAAATAAATAAATAAATAAATAAATAAATAAATATCATTTGAAGATGGTATCATATGATTATATATTGTCTAATATCAATAAAAATTTATAAGTTTTGTAACTTTCATCATCAAATAAATTTTTTCTTTTTAAAATAAAACACCCAATACCACCAATACCCAAGGCATATTTAAGTCAGTTATCACCCATCACCTTGTAGTATACAGTCAAGACAGGTGATAAAGAACATCCCCTGATTACCTAGCTGGCCATAATAATTCCATAGATAATAATATATGCAGCAATGATGAAGACCCAAAGCAATCTCTACAATGAGGAGTTCAATAACCCAGAATCAATCCACCAAAACCAATCCAACCACCAAAGCTGGGCTCAAGCTAGAAGAATGACAAACCTAAATCAATGGCCTCAAAGATTTTCCCCAACTAAATTAAATAATAATTATGATAATAATAATACCATCATCATTTCCCACTGAATTTATCTCAGTATGTAAATTTTAAGGGACCAGATTTGAGCTGTTCTTGCTGTATTGTCTAGAGTAAGCCCAGCTCTGTAAGCATCACTACCACTACTGTTCTCTCCACTACTAGTATTACATCTGGCCTATAGATGGCAGTACCATACCTGCAGCATGATAACCTGGAGGGATATCTTCATCTGACCCGTCGTCTATATCTGTGGGTCTCAGATACGCTGCAGTATCATGACCTAAAATGGGAACCAACCTAACATTCAGATTTCACAATAATATCTGTTGAAGTATTGGAATCAAGTAAAAAACCCAAACGTACCGGATTTGAAACAAAAATGAATATTATATAAAGTCTTCGTCAGAGTCGTCCACCATTGCTTTGATCCACAGCAAGTAGGCTCTGCTCTTCCATTCCTTTTTGTTATTATTCTTATCTATACCTACAATAGACCTGGCATTTAACACAGATTATGAAAATGGTGTGGTATATGAAAACAAAAACATAATTACCAACTTGAAGACAGTTCACTGTGCATGTTCACGGGAACATCAAGACGAAAATCAACTACATGCTCAACTTAGACATATCCATGCCTCTATATGATTGATCAAAATATTTCAAGTGGATACAAGTTAACAAGTTAATTAGTTTCTACCTTCACTGCTTATGATCATATTGTAGGTGTCACTATTATAAAACATATTTCCAAGAGATTACTAAGTTACAGAAGGCCTATTTTCCATTGAAATAATGCATTTTTTTCATATAAAACACATTTCCCCATTTGGATCATATAAAGCAAATTTCTTGACTGTTTTACCTTGCGGGTGAGAACTGCCATAGAGTTTGGAGGAGAGTTGAGCCATTCCTGGGTTGGTGAGGATGGCGAAGCCTGTCAGCTCCTCAATCTGCCGCCATCTTTGGAGGCGCTCTTGTAAATCTCGACCCACTTCTTCCAATGAAGATCTGGTGCAGAAATGGATAAATGAAGATCATGGATGACAGGTATCACTACCATACAAGCCAAACAACTAAAGAAGTTAGAATAATTTTATCTGTACTCCAAATATTGTAGTGCACATAACTATAAAGGCTGCATCTTTGGAGATGAAACTAATACAGCAACTTGCCAAGTCAATGGATTTATAGAATCTTGATTTAAAATCATCACACTAAATATTATGTAAAAGTGAACATTCCAACTACTGGTAAGACATTGCACAGAGTTAATAAATGTAAGCCTAACTTCATATGTAAATTTGAGTAAATGTATGCAACTTTATAAATTATGTGCAGAAATATATGAAAACAATTAAGGGCTTCCAAAGCACACTGCACTGTCAAGTTACCAGACTTCTAGATGTTACCTGGCATCAATTATTCTTCTATCTACATCATCTATAGAGCTGCTGTGTGCCAGCCGTAAAGAGCCCATGAATGCTGATCTTTTCTTACGGATTCTCTCACACTGACAAAAAGATACATAAAAGATTAATAATAATGACAGCAATGAATGAAAAGACAAGAGCAGTGTGAAGGTACTACTGAAAGTTTATGAAATACAAACTGAACTTAAATACCTCTTCTTGATATATAACCATGCTTTCAATTTTGCTTAATATATAATGGACATAAGGAATCAAGACAGGACAAAGACAAACATTCCCATTCCTGACTACCCCTTTTGGGCTTGATGAAAAAGAGTGGGGAAAGGGGGGGGGGGGAATTAACATAACTAACACAGATCCACCCCTTTCCTCCCAATCTATTTCTTTGCCTAATTTCAGTATATTATTTTTCCCTCCTACTCACAGCATCTTTGGCTGCAGCCAGCTGTCTCTCAGCGCTCAGCTTCTTGGTGTTGTAATGTGTCAGTTCTATCTCGTAGGTCAGCTGGAGCCAGTCCTGAAGGTCAGCTGGAGGTCGCCAGTTCATGTTTTCCAACTCGCGCTCTGCCTGCCGCAGGGCAGACCTTACCTGAAAACATAAGATATTGTCAATATTACCATGATTATAAAGCACTGGGTCAAAGTACAGGAATGGTAATGCTATGATTTTCAAGCAGGAGAACAAAATATATATGATGCAACACAAAGTCTGGAAAATAACAAGAAAAGATCAATGGCTGTATTGGCCTTGGTTTGTTAAAATGTTAGAAGATTGAGATAAAGAATTGGATTAATTTTACGGCCTGTGAATCCACTTTGATGCATCCAAAGCAAAAACAATCACCACTGGCACTATGTACTGCTCTTATCAGAAATAAAGTCATTTTTACTTATAGAAGTGTTGAAGTCCAAACACAACTTTTGGTTTAAGTTCACTGAATGAAACCATTTTCCAACAACTCTTAACAAGAATCTTATCAAGTGTCACACAAACTGATGCACTTTCCAGTTAATTCACCAACAGTACTGGCTAACCATTGTTTCACACCTTTGACTATTGATCTCTGTTGAACAAATCCAGCAACATTCTGACATGCCATCTTGCACATGTTGCCATGGAAATATGTAAACCTGACTTGTACACATTTAGTTTCCATGGTTATACAAAATTAGCTTGGATAATTTGTTATAACATGGGAAGAGGTTGGTGTTAAATTTAAGGAAGGGCGACATGCAATGTTTGCTGCAGTGATTACAGAGGTTTTCTATAAACCTGGATACTAGGAACTGGACACCACAGAGACTGTACTGATAAATTGTGTAACGTTTAGGAGACATGCAATGTGCACTTGTTCTAATGCTCATCCCATGTCTATTATATGTTGCATGTGTTCACTCTCCTAGGCTGATGTAATTTTCATCAGGCACAGAGCATACAAAGAAGGTGGTGCGTGGAACTGAGAGCAGTGTTGCATGAAAAAAAGTCTGTAGCTTTTAGCTTTAATAATTTCAATGGAGAGAGAGAGAGAGAGAGAGAGAGAGAGAGAGAGGGGCTCAAAAGTGACTGATTAGAAAAGGATTGAGGTAAATAATGCTTTTGAGGAAGTAAACAAGCCTCCCATCCCAACCTCCCTTGAAATTCCCTTGCCAACTGATATTAAGCCAAGAAACATTCAAAACTGTTTGTTTTCCACAAACAAAGAAGGAATTAAAACATAAAAACTGCTCCAATCCCTGAGCAAAGCATGCGCCTAGATTCCCACCTGAGCCAATTCTTCCTCTGCCAGCTTTAACCGCGTCATGTCCGCCTCTGTGCCCTCTCTGGCCAGCTTCAGCCTTTCTGCTTCCAGCTTGGCATCCTGAATCTCATCCTTCATCTTGGCCTCCAGGTGCTGCTTCTCCTGTACTACCTCCTGTTGGCTCTTCTGGGCTCTGTGTAGCCTATAGAGGACATAGACACATTTCTCTAGTGACTGACTTTATAGCATTGATTTAAGGTATGTCATAGATATAATCTTATAGTGGTTGATTTTACATAATTGATTTAAGGTATGATATAGATATAATCTTATGGTGGTTGATTTTATGTTATTGACTAAATGTATGATCTACTAGTAGTCTAAGATATAATCTAATAATGGTTGGTTTAACAGCACTGATTTAAGGTATGTTATAGATATAATCTAATAGTGGATGATTTTACGTTATTGATTTTAGATGTTATATAGGCATAATTCAATTTTTATTGATTTTATGTTATCTATTTATAATATCACATAGAAGTTATTTAACTGTTATTAAATTATGCCTAAAACTTATCAGTTACAGGTCTATATCCCAATATCAATTTTTTTTTTTTTTTATGAAATAGGGTGACTGATTCTTTTCCAGTAAATCACTCTCCTTTTTTTTCTATGCATGTGTGAGCTAGAAATAAGACATCAATAACAAATTATTCCCTCCATTTATGTACACATGATACTTATCTAGTATGCCATGTTAGTGAATGGTTCAAGGAAACTCAACTTGTAGATTTGGTGTAAGAGCAGTATGGCAACAGGATTTTTCAAAGCTACTAGTTTTCCTAGACCTGTTAGTAAACATGACAAGTAGGCTGAAAAGCTTTAGGCTCCTTCTGCTAATCAGTGCGAGCTTGGCATTTAATTGCCTTTAATATCCTGTCAATTACTTCTCACTTATATAATAGCAACTCATACTTCTCTTGTAGCTCTGTCAGAGCATCCTCTGCTCTCTGCAGGTTATCCAGATCTGTGATCATCTTCTTCATATGTGATTGGGAATACTTGTGTTGTATATAGGCAAACCAGCAGCCTCCTATAGCAATGACCAAAGATGCCACCAGGGCAATATCCTTGATGTAACTGTGGCCTTCTGAAATATATGAAGTTACCATCTAGTTAATGAGGTCTCATTCACAATGAAAATATTGTACTCGCTAGTTCAATCCAACTCTAAGGGGACTCTAGCTGAATGCAATCAGTTAAACAGATTATCATGCCTCCTTTTGTTTCCAATGTATTCTACTCAACAACAGGAGGAGTCATGTTTATCTGATGGCATGCAATGAGAGTCCTTGCTAGGTTGAACCAACCTATTATGTAGAATGCTAGCTTTATTGGGAATGAGCAAGAAGAGATATGCTGCTGTTAAGTTATGTATATGAAAATTTCTGTAACATATATATATGTATGTATATATAAATGACAAGCAAAGAGTTCAGGCAGTCATCAATTCTCAGGGGCGGATTCAGAGATATTTTCCGACAGTCTTCCAAATTATTTTTGTTGATCCGTTGTTCATTTTTGACCGTCTTCTGACAGAAAAAATTAGATACCCGTCAATGTAAACTTGAAAATCTGACTGTCTTCCGGAAGACCCAGAAGACGGCCTAAATCCGCCCCTGATTCTACATGCTGCCAAAACCCATTCTGACTGTAAACACCATAATTACTTCCATACAGAGTGGAATTGTACTGACAACTTACTTTTCGGTGGACCAAACAGCACTACATCCATAGCTTTTAGAGACAATTTTTGTTTGTGCACTGGGTTTTTTATCCCTAAAATCCCACTGAGAAAATGGTTGCTGTTTGCCGCAATTCTGAAAGTGGAATAAGTTCAAAATAACGCACTTCTTGATAAAAACAGATATTAAATTTGATATTCAGATAATAAGGACAGGGAAACTTTACAATTTTAAAAGCCAAGAGTAACATTGTGTAAGCTATCTTTTAAGATACAGGTAGCTAATGTACAGGCCAGGAAGAACTTGTGTAACATGATCAAAATTGTTAAGTTCTATGAAGGAGACCCTCTGCTGAATTTTGATTCAGAACAGACTGAGGTTATTGTGCACCATTAGAAAACAAGATATTGTGACAATATTGAGATAGACTGCATACCAAGAAAGCTCTGTCATAATCTTTTTTTTTTTTTTTTTGTACTAAAAAAGTATCAAACAAACTTCCTATCATATTATTTCATGCTTGGAGTCCTAACCACAAACATGCTTGCACAAAAAGAAGAAGACCTTTGTCCTGGCCTGTGCCAGCTGCTAGAAGTTTGATTTGTAAACTTCATACCATACTTATTCCTAAATGACTTATATTACCTTGGTAAAACTGTTCCATCCACTGCGTTGACCCTGAAGTTCTCTGCATATTGTGGCAGGTCAACGCTGACAGTAACCCAGTCCAAGACATCATCTACTGTCCAGTTATACACTGAAGAGAACCATTTCAAAGTCAAAAATTACAATCATGATAACTCTTGCATGCTGGAATTATTGTAAAAAGTTTTTAAAAACCGAGTTTTTTTTATTACTTAATACTCTCTGTAGTTCACATGAATGTCATGTACAGGTGGTGGCTCATGTTCTGTATTATTTTATAATTTCATCATACTTATCAACCAATGCTGTTTGGACACAAATTTCAAACTATAATAATGATGATTCAGACATTAACTTATATAAATATAAATATGACAAATAAAAACTTCCTTAGAATGTTCTTTAATAACAGAAAAGGTTTTGGGTTTCAAGGAAAAAGAAAAGGAGAAATGGCTCGGTGGCCCAATTCTGTGACACTATGATCCTAGGAGACTTCACTTGTACATCTAGACATCAAAATAAAAGCTGGTATCATTGAGTTGTAAGCTGGTTGTTTCCTTTAATATTTCATTTTGGCTAGTGTAGAAATGTTGGATAAATATTCCATAGACAGATTAGATAATTTTTTTTTGATACCATCCAAAGCGAGGAAGTAATTGCAATGGCATTTATGTCATTGTTTATATCTGTCTTATTTGTTCTCAAAAAATTTTTTTCTTCTCTTTGGTGCAATTCTGTCAAGAAACAACATATCTACATGAGAAAAAAATCAAAATCATTCACTCTCTCAACTTATCTACATATTTCGAGCACACACACTTTTAAAAAATAACAGTTAAATTTCATGAATAATGTTAAACAGCTAGCTAGCCTGACCAACCACTCATGCTTAAATACCAATAAACAAAAAGGAGAAAGAAATGTGATAAATGCAGATAAACAGAAGAACAGGATGATTGCATGACAAGGAAGTGTCAAAAGTCAGGTGGATTTCTTATACTTATTCTTGACGTGTGTGCGTGCTTGCATGTGTGTGTGTTTTTATTCAACTAAGATCAGGCCCAATTGCAAGCAAATGAAGATAGTTATTCAATTAAAATTAGGGGCAACATTAATTGTTTTCATGATGTGTCTACACAGTCCACAGCCACTTCCAGTAAAATACTTCCTTCATATATAATATAATTTTACAATATAAAATTATAAAATTTTTCAAAAGTCACACATAAAAGCAACTATGTATTACATATAGCAGGAAATAAAAGGGAATATGAAACTGGAAACAAAAACTAGGTTGCAAATATAATGCTTCTCAAAATACAAAGATCTGTTTTTGTTGATAGAATAACACCAGAAAGAAAAAGAAAATCAGAGAGCCAAAGGAACAGGATGCGCAATTTACCAAAAGCAGGTGCTACTAGAACACCATCTTTATCAGTAGTAGGTTTTGTTCACATTAACTGTGGCAGGTTGTGTTTCCATTCTGGTTGGGTCGAGATAACTCAGATCAGATCATATTCAGTTCAATACAGGAATTAAGGCATTCTACTCCCTTTGCTGTCCTGCCCATGACCCTTTTAACTGAAGTAAATTACTGCTGCTGGTTAGGCTCTGAATGATCCGTGACAGTTTGGTAAAAAGGATCATTCAGAGCTAGGTTGACCCAGCTTCTATGGATATTGGACTTGTCTCAAAAATAAAGACATTGACACTCTTGAAAAACTGCTTGCAGCCATCATGTTTAATGGTGTAAATCTTGGAAATTCATCTCTCGTTTGCGTGCTTATGAGCGAATGCAATTTGAGGTCGCAACAACACAGTTCTATTAAAAACCTTTAGCTTTAACTTAAGGAAGATGTTTTTAATAATTGAAGAAATGTTTTATAATTATCTTTAAGTTTAACACTGAGGTAAATGGGCTTTTGAGGGATTGCAAAGTCAACTTCACGATCTAACAGCTGAAACATGTTTTTGTAAATCGGGGTTGAACGTGGTCTGATATATCTAATAGCATGTATGTGTGTGAGCTTGGATATAGCATCATGTGTGGTTTCATTGGTGGCATTACTGACAGGAAAGGTGGTATTTGAAAGAAAGCCTCAGGGCTTGTGGTTCTGAAGAAAAAGCATCTGTTGTGTATCAACCCAACAACATTTCAGTTCCATTGTCTTTTACCATCCCATCCACAAGACCACTGAATATGTCAATGATTATCAAAAGGAAGAAGGAAGGAAAAAAGTATACCTTCTTGCATTTTAGCATGAATGAAATACCAAACCTAATCAAGGATAAGACTGCCATCTAGTGTCAAAGTTGGAAAATATAGCACAGAGTCCAGGGGGCCGCCTAGACAAATATTTTTGGCTCCCAAAATGTCAGAAATCCACCATCAGTCAGAAAAATCTCATCCCTGCCTAATACAATTTAACTAAGCACATTTTCTTTGGACCTGTGTACCTTACTCATCAACACTCCAGTCCTATCCATCAACACCCGTGTCCCATTCATCTCATGCATCAACAATGACCAAGGTCATAAGTGTTCTAGTTGAACTTTAACAGGGACAAGTGCACTCATCCAGCCATCATTGTTCATCAAAACACGACTAGAGTACAGATAAATATCTACCCTAACAGAAGGCCTTATTACCCTGGTCAGCAAATTCACTCACAGGTCACGATATGTTTCAAGACCAAACAAATCACTTTATAGTTGCTAAAAAAAGTTTAAAAAGTTTCATTCACTGATTGTCTCTGACCTGACTGGGTCATTGGTTTGACTTTTGTTTTTTTTTTTACAGCCATCTGACTATGTGATACCAACCATGCTTCCACTCCCCCTACAGTACATAAACTTGCATGATGTATACCTTCCGACTGCTTCCACTGAACCCATAGCTCATCTACGGTGATTTGTTTGTCATTGCCATGGAATATATTGTGCCTTTCAAATCCATCTGTGTACTGGAGCTCATCTCGGAGAAACTGAAAAGAAAATGTGACAAGTTGAGATATTCATAGGATAATCTAAAATGTCCTGGTACTATATAGATATGTTAAGATCACAGTATGCAACACAAGCAGATATTACATTCAACAACTGATGGTCACTGATCCATATTATAAGGAAAGTCATTGCAATTAGCTTCTTTTTTATTTGATTTGAAAATAACATTCCATAATTACGTTGTCTTTCCTTTTTCTGAAAATGCACTTATTTTCTACTTAACCTTTGTTCAGTTAAATGTGCTGATTGAACTTTAGTTGGTGACTTTCGGAATCCTAGATCAAAGACTTTCTTCAAGCAGGCCAATACAAAACATGATCTCTGGCTTTCTGCACTACTGCTTATGAATGATCATGAGCTTTAATGTTACAGGCTGGGAGAACACCATTTTAAAAGGAAGACAGAGTCTTTTAGTCACAGATTTTATCATTACCAGTTGAACAAGTTTTGTAAGACACGTCCAAGAATTTTGACACTTGTATTTATACCATAAGCTTGGTTTATGTCACAATTTACAAAGAAGCATGGACATAGTCATTTCTTTTTACTATACAAGCACAAGTTGAAGTGTACACAATCATACTTTACCTAAACTCTCTCTCCCTCTCTCTCTCTCTCTCTCTCTCTCTCTCTCTCTCTCTCACACACA